GAAATGATGTACAAATACGCTTTACACAATTGATGTGTGTATGGATTGGGATAACAGTTGTATGAGCCCCTAATAAAATGTTTAAAAAAAAAAAAAAAAAAAGAATACTGGAAGTCATTTTCTGAATATCTGATATTCAGCTTATTTGCTTGGTTTGAAGGACAGGTTTTAAAGTCTCATATACTGGGGAATAGTTTACATGGAAGAAAGTAAGGGATGAGTTGCACTTATAATCAATACAAAAATTTTAAATTAATACCACTTTACTACAATTTAAATGTCCATCATGATTGAGAGGGAAATAAGATAAAGCAAGGCTGCTTACAAAGCTGTGGCATGAACAGACATATGCCTACCCATGTTCACTGCAGCACTAGTCACAAAAGCAAAAAGATGGAAACAAGTGTCTATGAACAGAAGGGATAGTGTTATACACACATGCAATGGCACAGAGAGTAACAATGAGGAATAATGAGGAATCCATAAAACATCTCACAACTAGATGAATCTGACGGCCTCATTATGCTGAGTAAAATAAGTCAATCATGAAAAGACGACAAATGTTGTATGAGGCCACTATTAAACAAACTTAAAAGTAGATATTCACAGAAAAAGAAATATTCTTTGATAGTTACTGGGGGAAGAGACAGGGACAGAAGGAAAGTCACTAACTATATAGTAGACACTTGTTAACACGAGTGAAGGGAAAAGCAATACACAATAAGGGGGCAGCTGACACATTAGACTGGCCAGCTAACAATGTACCAAACCAGATGATAGACACATTAAAACAAATGCATGAGAGCCAAAATATGACCTAGATAATATTCCATCAGAATTTAAAGACCATCTCAAGAATAAATTTGAGACAATGAACACTAATGACGAAGATCAGATGAGTTGTGAAGAGATATCAAGATTATCACACATAAAGATGCCCCCAAAATCATAAAAAGACAGGAAAAAAGAAAAGACCAAAATGGATGTCAGAAGGGACTTTGAAATTTGCCCTTGAGTGCAGAATAGCTAAAATGAATATTAAGAAATGATGTAGGGGGGAGGGAGAGGAAGGGGAAAAAGGAAAATGAGGAACTGATTATTTAAATGAGGGACTCATTTAAATAAAATGATTTAAATAAATAAATAAATCTAAAGAAAATAAAAGAAATGATGTAGGAAAACAACCAAACAAAATCTTTAGAGGCAGTTCGAAAGGATAATATAAAGCATTATAAAGGACCGTGCAAAGATCTGGAGTTTAAAAAACGATTCAAGCTTCAAGTTTCAATGTGGAAGGATTCTATGGACAAAATATTGAATGAGGCAAGCAGTATCAAAAGATGGAAAGAATATAGTCATAGTGATTCTACCAAAAAGAATTGGTTGACATTCAGCCATTTCAAGAGTTGACATATGAAAAAGAACCCATGTCATTGCAGGAAGAAGTATGAGCTGCCCTGGAGGCACTAACAAAAACAAGAATCTCTATTGAATATCCTGAAATGTTTCAACAAACTGGCAGCACTGGAAGCACACACTTGTCTATATCAGAAATGTCAACAGCAACAAAAAAATTCGAAGATATCTACGTGGCCAACCAACGGGAAGAGAGCTTTATCTGTGCCCTTTTCAAAGAAAGGTGACTCAACAGAATATGGAAATATCAAACTATATCATTAATATCACACGCAAGTGAAATTTTGCTGACGATAAAACAAAAACAAGATCTAGCAGTACATAGACAGGGAGCTGTCAGAAATTCAAGCTAGATTCAGAAGACGTAACATGAGAGATATCATTGCTGATGTCAGATGGATCTTGAATGTAAGCAGAGAATATCAGAAAGATGTTAACCTGTGCTTCATTGATTATGCAAAGGCATTTGCCTATGTGATTCATAACTATGAAGAACGTCGGGAAAAATCAGATTTCCAGAACACTGCATTGTGATCATGAAGAACCTTTGCACAAGACAGGGGTTCAAACAGAACAAGGGATATCGCATGGTTTAAAATCAAGAATGATCCAATCTGTATGCTGAGCAAAATATCTGAGAAGCTAAACTATAGGAAGAAGAACGTGACATCAGGATTGGAGGGAGGCTCAATAACACTTTGCAGATGACACGCTCCTGCTTGCTTCCTGACAGTGAAGGAGCCCTGAAGCACGCATTGATGACGATCAAATGCCATAGCCTTCACTATGGATCACAACTCAATGTAAAGAAAACCCAAATCCTCAAAACAGGACCAAGCATTTAATTTTGCTTGGATCCACAATCATTGCTCATAGAAACAGTAGGAAAGAAATGAAATGACATTTTGCCCTGTGCGAATCTGCTGCATAAGACCTCTTTAAAGTTTTAAGAGCAAAGGGGTCAGTGAGGCAGGTGCACCTGACACACTATGCATGTGAAAACTGGACAATACATAAGGACTTCTGAAGAATTTATGGATTTGAATTATGGTGATGGCGAAGAATAGTGGAAGTTCCATGAAAGGTCAGAAGAACAAACACATCTACTCAGAGGATGTACTGCCACAGGTTTGTGAGATTCTGTGTCATATACTTTGGACACATTGTCAGGGCAGACCAGTCCCTGGAGAAGGATATCGTATTTGTTAAAGAAGGTGGTCAGTCAAAACGCGGCAGACACTGAAGATGAATTGACAAAATGGCTGCAACAGTGGGCTCATGCATATGACAGTTCTACAGCACAGGACCAGGCAGTGTTTTGTTCTTTTGTGCATAGGATCACTAGAAGTTAGAAGCAGATCATGATACATAAGAACATGTCACCCTAAGAAAAAAATTATCCAGTCATTATATAGACACATGCTCACTTGAAACGTTAAAACCATTTAATTCTAATTGCATTACTTATAAAAGTATGTTTTCTCAACTTCATGTCTCATCTTGGTATTTAAGAATTGTTTAAAAAAAAAAAAGAATTGTTTCTACATGTAGCAAACCCTCACATGTTAAGTGATGGAGAAAAATGGTCTCCATTATTTTACACTAATCATTATTAGAAGCAACAGTGTTCTATAAACAACAAGGTTTCTAGTATTTTTTAATGCCTTGGGCAGCATTACTTTATACAACATGGATTATCAATTTAAACATTATAAAATTTTCTTCTTACTCCCTACATCAGCTAAATCAGGTACCTGTGAATGAGTTTCCTTTACTGTTTTCAGGTCTTCTGCTAAATTTTCACATCGCTTCTGTGACTCAGCTAAGGAAGAAACTGTACTCTCTTGCAGTTCGTGTAGGTTGCTACATAATGTTCTGAGAAAGTCATCCATTTCCTTTTTCTGATCTTCTATCTTTGAAAGAAAAAAAATATTAGATTTTCTTAAACAACTCAATTTTAAGATATCAAGAACATAACATTTGTTACCTTATCAGCCACCGTCAATGAGGTCTTGAAAATATGCTTCATTTGACTATTGATTTTCAGTATCAACATCACAGTGGGGGATAAAATTGTTTCCAGAGACCTTAGGAGATCAGTCTTAAGTACATCCTGGTTTTAAAAATAAAGAAACAGATTTTTTAAAAGAGTATTTTCTTAATATCTTGATAACTAAACATGCATGATCAAAATTCTATTTTTATAACCTAGAGAGATCCATCCATTACTAAAATTTACTTTTTTAAAGTAACAATCCAGCCTTTAGGAATTAAGAAAATAGTCACTTAATGTCAATAAATTCTTAACTAATTAAAAATAAATAAACTTAAAAAGGGGAAATGGGAGTGAATTGTTAAAATTTCAGGATTTCAAACAGTCAAATCCTCCCCTCAGCCCCTAAAATATGTTTTTACAAAGTAAATTTCTAATAAGTTTAAGTTCTTAGTCCAAAAGGCAGAGACCAAAGAGAGTAAGTTTTGAGCAAGAGGTATTTAACTTTGAAAACTCAAGGACTTATATCTTATTGTATCAGATAAACTTATCAGGGGCACAACAAAACCTCAAATAAACGTTTTGTAGAAGATGTACCTGAAAATTGGGCATTTTTGTAAAAAGGAAAGGCAAAGAGTGAAACCTGGCCTTAGTCCAGGCTACACAAGTAATAGATTAATGTCAACTTAAAAGACAAGGCTACTGGTAATCTTTCAGAACAAAATACTAGCAACTAGTTCTGATGACTGTGCAGGTGGCAGGCATCTCTTTTAAACCATCTCTTCTGGCAATGCTTTTAACTTGAGCTTCAGAATAAAAGATAGACCACCACGGCGTGAACAAACATATCTCCAAAGAGCTAGCCCTGCCGATCGATGTCTTCTAACTTTGTCAGACGCATAAAGACAGATAGAGAAGCCAGCACCCAAGAGCTGGACGTGGCAGTGTCATTCAACGTTTGTAGTGTGTATTTGAGCAGTGTTCAACATAATACAAAATTCAAAAAAGGAAGGCAGAAACAAAGTGATATGGTTCAAGACTTCCTAAACAAATCATAGTTATAAATGAGAGAAAGGGTATATATCAATCATAAATGAAAGTGACACTATTAAGTATAATTAGAAGAGTGGCTTCTTTAGAACGGTCAAAGCCCAGAATGGCTTGGCACATACATCTGACCCCGTAAGGTGACATAGAGCTGTTTAGTATGTGCATTCCTAGAATTGTTATTTTTCTGTATAATTCTATTATTAAAACTAACTACCTAATATTTCCTTGTGGTCAAGTCAGTTCACATCAGAATGACAGTTTCAGTTATCTACAAGGCCTTGGGGAAAGGGGGACTTACTCATTTCTGGGCTGACAAGTCATGGGCCCCTTGAATTCATTTGGAGTTAACCTTGTCTTTTCTAGTCTTTTAAGGACCTAATAATAACTCCTACTCGTAATGTTACAAGTTAAGAGTTAAGGGAAAAAATCCAAAGACTGGTTATATATATTTGGCTATTAATCTTTCCAAGAAAACGAAAACAAGAACAAAAATCACACAGGGGAGATTTGTCTTTAGAAACATGACCCCTCAGAGCAACATGCTTAGCCCTGTGTCTGGTAATGCTGAAGATGAAAGAATAGCAGTTAACATTGTGAACACTTATCAACTGTAATCTTCAAAAGTATTTCAAGAGATTTACTAACAATCAACTCCTGAAGTGTAGTTTTACTTTCAGCTGCTAATGCTTGTTCTTTCAGTATCATATCAGCTATCTGAGAAACTCGAGCAGACACGTTTTCTGGAATCGCCGTAAGAGACCCGAGTGCTGTTGTAGTAACGGTGTCTAACGCAGAGACACTGGAGGACAGCAGATGACCTACACCGAGAAGGGAGGAAGAGGGCAGATGTGAGCTGTAAAAAACAGATCTAAACACGGTGAGAACAATTTCAAAACAATTGTCAAAGTGATATTCTTGTGGGATTTGTGAGATCAAACAGGTTTAAAACAACTGGTTCACTATATAAGCAAGGAAACACCTTAAAATATATATATTCTTTCTATTCTGACATTTGATGTCGTTGTAAGAACACCTGACTCACAGATACAACACACAGTAAACCCAAATTAATATACTTTAAAACTGATCTGTAAATGAAAGTAATATTCAGTATTACAAGCGGGTTCCCCACAAAAAAACCCAGAGCTTTCCCCACCAAGCTTTTTTTTTTTTTAACAAAACAACCTTATCACCTTCAAAGAACTCTCCATTCCCCTTAATATATTTGTCAAATCTGCTATTATTCCATTCTTGGAAACATTTTTCAAACTCATCTGTTTGAATGGCTGATAGCACCTCCCTTGTTTTTTAATTCACCTCTTCTATGTCGTCAATCCCTTGTTTTTTTCTTCTATGTCGTCAAATCGCTGTCCTTTCATGTCCCTCTTCATTCATGGAAACAAAAAGTTGCACGGAGCAAGGTCAGGTAAGGTGCGTGGGGCAAGAGGCATGTTGTTTTTTGCCCAAAACTGGCACCCTGAGACGGCTGCACATGCAAGTGCATTGTCATGGTGGCAAAACCAGTCCCCTATCTGCCACAAATCAGGCTTCCTTTGTTGCACACTGTTACATGATCTTTTCAGAAACTCTAAATAGAAAGCTTGATTAACAGCCTGACCTGGTGGAACGAACTCCAAATGCACTATCCCCCTCACATCAAAAACGCATCATCTTGATCTTTGATTTCACTTGACGATGTGGGCAAGGTGACGATGGCGTCTTCCATTGGCTTGATTGATGTTTGCTTTTGGGGTCGTAAGAATAGCGCCATGTCTTGTCACCAGTACTGCCCTTGGGAAAAAGCCTGGGTCAGATCAGAGCTGCTCTTTTTCAGAGCAGGGCATGCTTCCACTCGAAGCTCTTTTTCCTTTCCTAAGGCACACATTGTGCAGCAACCTTCTCCATACCAAATCTACCGTTACAATTGGCTGACTGAGCTCCAAGATGGTCCAGATAACTTCCCCATATCTTCAATGGTCACCATCAGTTTTCAAGCACAGTGAACTAATTTTGTTGATATTTTCGTCAGTTCGGGAAGCTGATGGACATTGAGAACGAGGTTTGTCATCAATTGACATTTCGCCTTTTTTGAAACAAGAAAGCCACTCGAACACTTGAGTTTTTCCCATAGTGCTGTCCTTGTAAGCTGTATTCAACATCACTAGTTTCTGAGGCATTTTTCCTGAGCAGAAAACAATATTTCACAGCCACACTGTTCTCTTAAATTTGCCACACAGAAAACGATGTTCAAGTGAAACTGCTTTTACAAAAACAGAGATAAATGGCTCTGCCAGGCCCACCCCCATCTCTCCTGCTCTCTGGTGGTGATTGGAGCATACTGCTGCTTTAGCTAGTTCTCTGCCTCAACCTGTGGGCCAGACCAACCCGTGGATCGTGTTCAAGAGAGCTTGAGGCTCTTTTGAGACCTACTTCACCACACTGCTGGTACATACATCGCTTGAGCATAAGGCTGGCAGATCCTTTCTTGCATTGTTCAATATCCCATCCGAGCCTGCTTCAATAACCTCCAGAGCTACTGACTGCTTGTTGGTGCCCCACCCTGCTGTTTGCTGCCTGTGAGCAGACCGTTTGCCTTGCCCAAGGGGGAATCCCACTGTCTGCTTTCTTGACCTTGGACCCAGAAGCCCATGTGAATTGAAGGACTTCCAGTACATTAACTGTTCCAGGGAAGTGAGTTGAACTGAGCCCTCTGTACTACTCTGTGGATTAATTAGCTGTTATATTCCTTCTTGCTATAAAAAACCTATCTTTCTATCTATCTATCTATCTGGACGCCACTGGGTGCACTAATTCAAAGCGACAAGTTGCTCAATGCCCACCTAGTGGGAAAAATGTTTAATACAAAAGCTCCACTCCCCCCAGTGCAATTCCGTTTTCTGTAGGTACGGCCCCATCAAATACAAAAAACGCAAACCAAAACCACTGCCATAGAGTCCATTTCGATTCACAGCAAACCTACACAGCAAGTTGAACCGCCCTTTTGGGTTTCTGAGACTTTACATCTTTATGGAAGCAAGAAACTAGCCTTATCTTTGTATCTTTTCCCCCAGAAATGACTGGTGGTTTGTACCAATGATCTTTTTGTTAGCAGCTCAATGTTGGGCCAATGTATCAACAGAGCTCCTCTCAGTATTATAGTGGTTAAAAAAATGAAGTTTACCAATCAATCAGTCAATCAATAAAATAATATATTAGTTTTCAGGGGAAAAGAGAACACACCACTTTCCCCCCATTTCAGTATCTTCTCAGTTTTCTACAATGCGAAGAATACTTTCTAAATAAATACTTAATATTTAAGAGTTCTTATTCTAAATGGAGAACAATAGAATTATTAAAATTAATAATACATACATTTTAAAATAGGTAAACTTTTAAGGTACACATTCTCAACAAGTTGCAGAATAATACACATAAAAAAATCTAAAAGGAAAGTAAAAAAATTTAACAATAATACCCATGGGGAATCATCCAGTCGGGGATAAAGGAATTTTACTTCTAAAGTTTATACACTTGTTTGCTGTGTAGTTAGTATTACTCAACATGAAACAACAAATTTTGCTTTAATTCAAAGGCAAAAAGCATTCATACTCAGAAGGAACAAACGGTATGTGTGCTAAAAAGGAACTAGAGACCCAGTCAGCTAAGTTCTTGAAAATAGTAACCAGTCTTTAAATTAGTCACACACCAAAAACACAAAGACTAAAATGATTAGAAATGTTTGGTCTTACCAAACAGTGTCTGGTGAATGTCTAGCATGGTCTTTTGTTTGAAGCTGCCATCCTTAATCAGCTCTTCCATATTATTAAACAGGCTACTGAGATTTTTGCCAAAATTATCTTGAGCTTCTGTATTGTGTTGATCAATTGTCTTCTTCCGATCCAGTTTGGAATGGAGACCAGATACATCTTTTGTGGTTTCTTCAACTGTATTAAGCAACTATATAATAATTTAAAAATATATATTGATGAGTATGGCAAAAAGAATCTGATGAAGATAGCTATGCTGAACGATGAAATATATATTTTTCCTCTAGTTCTTAAATGCTCCCCTCCCCCCCACTATCATGATCCCAATTCTACCTTACATATCCGGCTGGACCGGAGGATGTACACTGGCAGATAGGAACTGGAAGTACAGGGAATCCAGGACAGATGAACCCCTCAAGACCAGTGATGAGAGTGGCGATATCAGGAGGGTGGGGGGAAGGTGAGGGAGAAAGGGGGAAACAGGTCTACATATAACCTCCTCCCTGGGGGACGGAAAGCGGAAAAGTGGGTGAGGGACATGTCAGATGGTGTAAGATATGATATAATAATAATAATTTATAAATTATCAAGGGTTCAGGGGGAGAGAGGAGTCGGGATGGAGGGGAAAAAATGAGGAGCTGATACCAAGGGCTCAAGTAGAAAGCAGGTGTTTTGAGAATGATGATGGCAACATATGTACGAATGTGCTGGACACAAATGATGTGTGTACGGATTTTGAAGAGTTGTATTAGTCCCTAATAAAATGATTTTTAAAAAAAGAAGAAAATGATGATGTCAACATATGTACAAATGTGCTTAACACATGGATGAGTATATGGATTGTGATAAGAGATATAAGAGCCCCAATAAAAATATTTAATAAAAAAGGAAAGAAAAAAAAAAGAAGATAGCTGCGCTGTATTGCTATCATAAGTATTCCTCCTGATCAAAACTAGTGAAGATTTAGGTATTGTATCAGAAGAAATCCCTGTTCTCACATTGGTTTATCTAGCTGCCTAGAAATGCTTATTTCCCCCTCGGCTGGCAATCTAGAAAAGCATAGTTGATTTAACAGATTTACTCATGTAGTAAGTATGCATCTCACAAATTCTTTCCCTCTTGGCTTGATTAGTTTCAAAAAGATATAGCCAATATAAAGTCAAATATTTTTAACATCCTACATTACTTCCACCAAAAAAATCAATCCTATTGCCAATTATATTGGGCAGATAGTCTCATCTTCTTCAGGGCAGATGGTGGATTTGAACTGACAACCTTGCATTAGCAGCCCAATGCCTAACCCACAGTGCTACTAAAGCTCCTCTTCCATCAATAGAAGATACTAAAATTCTAAATATCTGAACAGTGTAAGTTATCACAGGAGAAAAGAATCACAACACTAAAAGTGTATTAAAGTTGTATTCCATTTTCCAAACTCCAGGGAGTTGTTTCTTCTTAAATTAGCATATCCAGTGGGAGTGGGGACTGGGGGGAATGGATGAAATAAAACAATGGTTTTTTAAATGGACAGACATCTCATATGGTTAAATACATACAGTTTTTCAATCAATACTTAAGCCAAAAAAGTTACTTCCATTTCTTTAATGGGCAACAAAGTCAAAACAAGGGCCGACCTGGCTGGCAGCACTGTGAAGCTTCTCCTCAGTGCTTTCCAAGGCAGACGTGATGTATTCTTCTGTGGCCAGCTGTATTTTAGTTTCCTGTAAATTTTTTTGAGTAGTTTCAAGTTCCTGTGTCTTATTTTGCAGGTCACATTTACACTGGTCAAGTTCATTTTTATTTTCCATAAACAGCTCTGTAACCTGATTTAAAAAACACAGACACACAAACTCATTGCTTTTGAATTGATGCCAACTCATAGTGACCCTGCAGGCAGAGCAGAACTGCCTCAGTGAATTCCCAAGACCGCAACTAACAACTTTCTCTCACTGTATCCTGAATAAACAAATTAGTAATTTTCATGTAAAAATTGCACAAAGTTACCAGGTCTATTAGCACATTTTATATAGCATCTGCTTTCTTCCCATAAATTCATTAAAAACTTTGACAGTAGATAACAAGCCTAGTGTAGTGGCATTAATTCTTCATATTCTTTCCATCACTGCTAGAGAATATGAACATAAACGTGTTAATGTGAAGGTGGCTAAGCTCTCTCCTCCTTACTTGGTTATTTTTATTTAATATCCAAGTTTACTAAGCGTCCGCATTCCATCATCTGGTAAACATGTTAATAAATATCTCAGGAACCACTCTTTTGTAGCTTTAATAACAAAAAAACCCAAATTCAGTTAATTTCTTGCTATGACACCTATGTAAAGTGTCAACATAGGCAAATTTCCTCATTGTCATCCATGATTGTAAACCTGTGATGCAGCACAATTTCAATGCTTACCCTACTTAGCTCATCCTCAAGGGCACCAATTTTCTCGATCAGTTCTACAATTTGTTCTTCTTGAACAGTTAGTTTCCCATTCATGGCTCTAAAATAAATTTTAATAATATGACAGTTAATATTTCTCCCAACATCTACAAGAGTCATTCGAATACAATGTGGCAGTTACACAAACTCATCATCACTATAATGAAAGGGGCACCTACGTGTTCATGAGCCATAAATACAAACGTGTCATTGTTTGATTCATGAGTATTTTCCTTTTGATTTCCATTCTGAAACTGGGAGCCCCTACCAAAAAGGAGGAAGGCATGTGTGTGTATCAAATCTGAGAAGCTGGGCAGCTGATGGGGGAGAGCAAACAGTAGGATAGAGGTACGGCAGCTGTAACCTAAGTGTATTCAAGGTTATGAAGTATAATGAATGTGTTCCCACAAGAATCCTGCAAGGTTTAGGACCTCAAAGTCTTGTACAGAGCAAACGTCTATAAAACACCAACGCTGCACTAATTTTCAAAACATGGTAATTCATAGCCTGTCTTTTCCACCGCAGCATTCTGATGCTAGTGACTTCTGTGGAACTTCCTTTTTTTGACCCGAGGTGCCCCTTGCTCTCATTCCAGCCTCTGGCAAATAGACAATTTTCAGTTTCTCTGATAGCTCTCCCTGACTCCTTTGTGCTCCTTAAGCACTAGAAAAACGCACAGAACTCATTAAGACTAACTATAACTACAGCTATTCATGTACCATAACCAGAAAGGATAGAAGTACAGAGATATAGAGGCAATGTCTGGGAAAGTCGAGGCACAAGATTAAGCTCCAAGTTGCAGAGTATCTTGGCCCTGGGTGCCTCAATGAGTATGAACGAAGATGCACGTTCCCTCCCTTCCTGAGCCTGCAGCCAGGATGCGACAGTTAAGTCCACTGCCAACTTAACATGTTTTGATGAAATCAAGTAGGTTTCAATTCATAGCACCCTTATATACAAAAGAACAAAAGGCTGCCTGGTCCCGTGACATCTTCACAATCCTTGCTCTGCTTTAGCCCATTACTGTACCCACTATGTGTGTCAATCCACCTCACTGAGAGTCTTCCTCTACCAACCAGGATGTCCTTCTCCAGAGACTGGTCCTTTTCTGATGACAAGTTCAAAAGATGTGAGACAACGCCTCAAACTCCTTGCTTCTAAGAAGCATTCTGGCTGTATTTTTTCCAAAATGGATTTGTTTGTTTTCCTGGCATTCTGGCATTGTTTTTCTGGCATACTATGGTATATTCAGTATTTTCACCGCAATTCAAATGTTCCCTGGATATTTTATGAATCAACAGCACCTTGGTACCTGGCAAATCCCAACAGCTATTTTCAAAAGCCAGAGACAAAAGGCCAAATGAACATACCAAGACACACACCACCATCACACAACATAAATCCTCGAGGGACCAAAAGAGTATCCTCAAGAGTAGGATTTCTCAGTCTACACTGTTGATATTTGCACCAGATAATTCTTTGTCCTGTGCATTGCAGGATGTCAAGAAGCATCTTTTAGTTTCGACCCACCAATTGCCAATAGCACTATGTCTGAAACCTTAACAATAAAAAACTGTCTCCAGACATTGCCAAATGTTCTCTGGGAAGCAAAATCGGCTTCAATGTACAGGAATGACACTGGGATCTCCAGTGTCACTTTCAAGAACACAAAGGAAGATGATTTGAAGTACGGTTTATGGTTGGAAACAAAGTGAAAACCTACATAGCAAATGGTGGGATCCTCCTCCCTCTATATCCACTCTAATCTGAGAACATCAGTAGTCAGAAGAATCTCCAAGCAGAAAGCTGAGGCATCTTCCCAACAACCAGGTCATCATCGCCTTTTCACCTTAAAGCAAACTCCTGGTTCCACAAGCTTTACCTGTGCATAAAGCTTCCAGTATTCTCTGTCAAACAGAGGACGCTTGAGAAGTAAAGGAAAACACAAGACAGCTGCCACAACAAACAGAAGAAGGGGTACCATGGACCGCGAGAAAGGAAAAGTATACTTCAGGAACATCAAAAACAAAGGTTCGAAATAAAGAACGTGTCTGCTTTCCTGAGCAGTAAGTACCGTTTCTGCAGCCAGTTGCCTATCTTTTGTACCCTTTCTAGCTCCTTCTAACACACCAGCTTTTACTCCACGCTGTGCTTAACTGACAGACTCTTCCCTCAAAGTGTGACTAGCTAGAGAGAGCATCCTTCACTTAAAGTCAAAAATGAACTCAAGTGTGAGAAAGTTCAATCTAACGGGCTTTTGCTAAACATGTGAGCTTTTCATTGGAAATGGGTCTCATATAAAAATGGGACATTTCAAATGGTTATCTTATTTTGGATATGCAAGAGGTAATTTGCAATTGCTATTCCATGGCTGAGGTCATTTTGATGCACCTTTAAAATGTCTGCTATTTAGCTCAGGGTAGAGTAGTATTAGAACGGTTTTCAATGTCACATTCACCAATAAGCAAGGCAAGCACAGGCTTACTCGTGGTTACTTACTGCTTCTAGGTATGGCTGGATTTGTGTCTCTTTCCCAACCCCACAGCACCTTCAAAGAGAACCAAGGCCTCTTTTTGAAATTTACAGTCCCTGACAGGGATGGAATACACATCCTCAGTACACAAGAGCCTATTGGATAACCTGTCCCTGCCAGTTTTAAATGTTGGCTGCAGATTTTGTGATCCTTCTATGACTTAAAATTCATGTGCGTAATTCCAAAAGCTTTTTCAAAAAAACTTTATTTCAGATTATGCCTTTTGTCCATTAAAGAGTAAATGCTACCTTTTCAATACTATGAATGCTTCAATGCCTAAGAATGATAAACTAAAAGCAAAGTTGTTTCTTAATCTAAAAAAAGTCAGTGACTTGTATAAAACAAGAACATTAGATAATCTGTCAGAATCATAGTAATGGATTATTAGCAAAAGATTTAAAGAGAGAAAATACTACAGGGTCAGCAGTTTGATACCACCAGCCATCCCTGGGGAGAAACATAGGCTTTCTATTCCTATAAAGATTCACCATCTTGGAAATCCAAATGTGCAGTTCTACCCTGCCCCAGAGGGTCACTGTGAGTTGGAATCGACTCGTGGCAGTTGAGTTGGGCTTCTGGTTTCCAAGATTTTAAAAAGGTTCAACAGATTAGTGGTTATCAAGGGTTAGGGAGTAGTAGGTCCAACTAGAAAGGGGCAGTGCAAAGGTGATCTTTGTGACGGTGGAACATTTTTTTCATCTTGATTGAGGTGGCAGTTACACAAATCTACACATGTGATAAAGTGGCAAAGAAATGTACACACAGTACCAATGATCTGGTTTTGATACTGTACTATAGTTATATACCAGTGTTTTGGACTAAATTGTGTCCCTCAAAAAGATATGCTGGAGTCCTAAGCCCTATACCTGTGATGGAGACTCTATTTGAAAATAAGGTCATTGAAGATACTATTAGTTAGCTTAACATGAGGTCATACCAGAGAAGGGTGGGTTCTATGTGACTAGTCTCCATAGAAAAGAGAAGGTACACACAGGAAGACAGGAACGATGGCACGTATTGCTGCAGCTGCAAGTCAAGGAATGCCTGGTACGAAGCTACTAGGGAAGCATGAAAGTGATTCAACCTTAAAGACTCAGAAAGAAACTCCATGCCCAACAACTTGACCTCAGACTCCCAGCACCCTGAAAGTGAGGCGGTGAATTTGTTTGGATAAGCCTGCAGTGGTTTGTGGTAATTTATCACGGTCACCTTAGAAGACCAGTACAAAGAGATAGGGGAAACTAAGTGAAGAATAATACAGGGGACCTCAGTACTCTTTTTACAACTTCATGTGGGCTGCTTAATTATTGAAAAATAAAAATGAATAAAAATATTCCAAAACAGGTACTTAAAAACTACTAGTACTTAAAAACTACTAGTTAAAAACTACTAGATAGGAACTGGAAACACAAGGAATCCATGACAGATGATCCCTTCAGGACCAGTGGTGTGAGTGGCAATACCAGGAGGGTGAAGGAAAGTTGGGGTAGAAAAGGAGAAACAATTACAAGGATCTACATATAACCTCCTCTCTGGGGGACAGACAACAGAAAAGTGGGTGAAGGGAGACATTGGACAGTGTAAGATATGACAAAATAATAATATTTATAAATTATCAAGGGTTCGGGAGGAGGGTGAGCATGCAGGAAGGGAGGGGAAAAAATGAGCTGATACCAAGGGCTCAAGTAGAATATGTTTTGAGAAGGATGAGGGGAACAAATGTACAAATGTGCTTGACACAATAGATATATGTATGGATTGTGATAAGAGTTGTATGAGTCCCCAATAAAATGATTTAAAAATTAAAAAAAACAACAACTACTTGTTAATGTTAAAACAAAAAGGGGCAGTCATAGGAGGCGCTAGACAAAGAGTTTCATTTTTGCCACATAAGTACAATTTACTTCCAACAGTGGGTTATCAACAAATGCCTGGTGTTAACTTTGAAGTTGATCTACCCACTGCTATGGAGCTGATACCAACTCAAAGCAAGCCTATAGGGCAGAGTAGAGCGGCTTCTGTCTTCATAGGTGCAAAGAGGCTCATCATCCTCCCACGAGGCAGCTAAGGACTTACCTAAAATTTTCTTCAGAGAGGTACACTCCATTCTTTTCACGGGCCGCAGCAAGATCTCGTTTAAGGCGCTCTATTTCTTCTGTATATTCCTATACATCAGAAATGTTGTAGGTGTTAATTTAACCCTTAACTTTTTTCATTCCTTTTGAAGAAACTATACCACAAAATAAAACAGTCAGCCTTTTAATGTTTTAAAAACATGTAAAGTTTCAAAAAAACAAACAAACATGTAAAGTTTCAATCAATAATAAATCTACTAAAAAAAAGTTTTTCAAAAGCTTCCAAAGTTCTAAGTGCAGATCAATGAATTTCATTGGGTCCTTCTAGACACAGCGTTGTGAGTCCCACACACTGATTGGGAAGGACAATGAAAGTAAGACGCTGTGGGTCATGAAGGGGACTGGACAGTTTTGCCATTGCTGTTGCCAAGCTCTGCACATGTAGGAAAACAGCTGAATTAAACACAATGTGTGAATGTTATGATATGTAAAGTATGCCTCCAAGCCACAAATACACTTTGTAAGAGGGCCTTACTTTCGCATTTGTCGAACAAGATGACATCACCCCACAAAATTTCACAATTACCTTAATCAGAGCTTTTTTGGTGAGTTTCTGGTTCACTTCGGGCTTATTCATTATGTTCTTTGCTCTGTGAGCGTATTCCAGGGTACTCAGGGTTTCCTGTCATGAAAAGAATAGACTAAATCACTGAAAATACTAAGATTCCTATGCTAATATTACGTAAAATATAAGGCATAATAACTTACAAGTAACAATATATGTTACTATCTACTTTAACAAACCTAGCTATTGGGACTACTATACCAAAACCTGACAACATTTTCCAACACCGATGAATCTTAAAAACATCATGTTAAGTGAAGAAGTCAGTCGTTGTGATTCTGTTGATGAAATTCCAGAATAGAAAACCCATGGGAGAAAGACTAGTGGTTGTCAGTAGCTGGGGAAGGCTCTCATGTGTTACAGGGTTTCTTGTTTTCTTTCAGGGATGATGAAAATGTTCGGCAGTTAGGTAAATGGTGATGACTGCAAACTTGTTGACTGTGCTAAAACCATTAGACTGTGCACTTTTCATGGGTAAATTTTGTTGTATGAATTGCATCTCAATAAAAATGCTCAATGAACTCGTTTTGTGTTGTTTGAACTTTTTTGATGTGGTAGCTAAACAAGAAATGCAAGCTACATTACTTGCAGCTACCTCTCAAAGGGCTCACCTCGAGACTGACAGATGCAGGTGAAATTGTGGCAATTATAGATGTTCTTGTTCGTCCCCCAAGAGAATCTTGGAGAATCCTGGTTAGTTTAGACTCTCGATAAGGAACATGAGGTGTTCTTTCGACAAGAGCAGTGATAACCCTTCCCAAAGTCAGCAGAGATTGATTGATATTCCCAGCTTCCCGTGCTCTCTTGTCGACTGCTCCAGAACGACCAATGTTTTCACTTCCTGCAAGATCAACCTTTAATGTACAACATAAACACAAATCATCAGTCTACTGGATTGGCACTTGAGACTTTCATGTTCACACGTGTGTGTGCAAGAGTACTGCAAAAACTAGTGGAAAATGGAATTAAGAGATAATGGAATTTTTCCACGAACTTTTTGAAGCCCTCGTTTATGTATAAGGTATTAAACAGCCAACAAAATACCACACTGAAAGGACAACCGCCACAAAAAGGAAATGTCTTTCCCAACCCATTAAACTTCCTGAAATGCTAATCTCTCTATAATGAACACATTTCTGCTACTACTACAAAGTTAACAACCCAGTAACTATAAATATTGCCTGGAGATACAAAACTTCAAAAGACAATGCTTACCAAGTTTAACTTTCCAATTTTAACAAGCTCCTCTCCATCGATCGTAGTTTCTTTCATATGTATTGTGACAGAGAAAACTGAGTGGGAACGACTAGAAAACAAGATTGAGTGGCCTGGTCACAAAAATGCAAAACAGGTCTGTTTTCAATAAAATACTCAAAAAGAGATCTAAATTCACAAACCAGAGAAAGCGATCAGGCTGACGATATAAGATTTTGGAAGCTGAGTGGTAGATAGAGCAATACTTAGGTTTTTCCTTTATTTGTTCCTAAGCTCTGCAGGGGAGACCCCATTAAGAATCTACCTGAAAACTGCTAAACCTCAAGAGACTTAGAAAATAGAATCCTCAAGTATCTCTAGAAGCTGGATGTATGAGGTGTGGCATCGGGATAGTTCGTTGTCTGTCAGAGGGGAGAGGACTGAGGATCAATCATTCCTTATAAACGTTGCCCTGAATCCTATTCCTAAGAAAACCACTTGAAATTCATTATTACCATCAATTCAAGCAGCAACAGGTAAATCGTCAGATTAGTCCTTGATGTCAAAATGCATTATTTCTTGAGCATGTCATGAGAAATAAGTAACTCCTCATCTCGAACATTAGAAAGAGTAAATGGCAATAATTATTCAAATACTTCGAGATAATCACTCCAGACTATAATGTTCAAGTCTACCATGTGCTAAATACTGCTTTTATCTAAGGGAAACAAAAATTATATAGACAAAAGATATCTTTCCTGTCTGTATCATTGATACTTGATGAACATTATTATATTTGCTTATAATGTTATTAATGATGACTGATTTTTAACTTTCTTCTTTGAATTGACTTAGCATCTTCCCCCTCCGCCACAAACAGAAGGGTTATTTAAAATTACAGAGTGGAAACATACAAGGACATAAGCATATAGATCTGACCTATAATTTTTACCTCCTACTTTTCTATCATTATCTACCCACTACTAAGCTAGATTTATGCAATTAATATAACCAAACACGAGTCCATTCTGACTTTGGAAAAGTGAATTAGCTTTTATTTATCTTTACACATAAATTCATAAAAAGAGATCTTTACTCCAATTTGCATACAAGAAAAAACAAACCCAAATTTGCAGCAATTGAGTTGATTCCAACTCATGAGAAACTTATAGCCAGACAGAACTGCCCTTTTGGATTTCTGAAATTGTAAGTCTTTATAGAAAAAGAAAACCTCATCCTTCTCTGGTGATACAAGAAAGAGAGAGCACTAAATTATCAAAAGGTACCCTAGTGGTACAATGCGTTAAGCACTGGGTTGTCAACCACAGAATCCAGTTTGAACCACCAGTTGTTCCCGGGAGAAAGAGGCTTTCTGCTCCTGTAAAGATTTACACCCACAGAAACGGAGGGAGTTCTGCCTACATAGGGTTGCTATGAGTCAGAATCAACTCAATAGCAGTAGACAAATCATGCAGACATATAAAATAATAGGAATTCTGTTAAAGGGGAAAAAAATCTACTTAGTCTTCAGTAATTCCTCCAAATTCCATGTCATCTTCAGTTTTAAATTTCCCATTTATTGCAAAGCCACTATGGGAAAAAATCTAACTAAAACTGAAATCACCTACAGTTTCATTATATTTACTTTCATGTTATGCTCTTTATTTTTATTTGTTTTAATGAAAATATATTTTACCTAATTGCAATTATAATTGCGCTAACACTTTAAAGAAACTTTCAATTGTAAGGGGCCAAAAGTTAAATCATTTAGTCCTTTTCTTTTCCCCCCCCGTCATTTAGTCCTTAACAATCTCTTTATAGCTCAGGGAAACAGATGTTTGGTAAGTTCACCTAGTTGCCTTGAGTCACTTATTTAACTGGAGAGGTGGGACTAGACACAAATATCAAACTCTCAACCTACTGCTCTATTTCACTCTGATTTCTTTCAAAGCCCAGCAGAAAGAAATACTAGTGTTTTGGTAAACTACTTTCATAAAATTTGATATTTAGCCTATAGAGGTGCTCTCAGATATATCCATTTCTCCCCATGGAAACTCCTTGTTAGTGATCATGTCTGCCCATATGAAAAAAGAAAGCCGTTTCTTGTCTTTTTTAAGAAAGCCATTTCAAAGCAGTCGCTTGACTTCTTTCAAATGAGTGGTTTTCAAACTTGTTCAAAGAATTGCTAGGCTCTGTGGAAAATTGCCTTTAGCCATCTTCATAAGGCTGAAAGACATAAGCTTCCAAACAGCCCAAATCAACTATTATAACCACTTATTAATTTATCTTGTACACTGGGCTCCTGTGCACAATTTCATTTTTTAAAAACCTGTGTAAAAGAAATCTTATATATATAAGAATTTAATATGGCTCTAATTCAACTTGTTTTTGTCCTTTCCACATTCTTCTTACATTGGCACCTTTCCTATAAATATCAAATGTATCCATTGCCAAGACCCCCTCATTAAAGCACTCAATCCAGGCGTATAATCCATATATCCCAATCCACTCCAATTTGACTCCCCCCAGGTTTCTAATTCTTCTTGAAAATAGGCTGGGAAAGTCCTGGATGTCTTACCTAGAGTATGCATTCATCAAAGTTGCCGCAGTTGTCCTTTTTGCTGCCCCTTTCTCCAAAATTTGATAGACTTCATCCTTGTTGTGTACTGTAATTTCTTCCAAACCTTTGATTATCACTCCCCTCTAAACAAATACCAAACAAACAAAACCCATTAGATTGCTTAAAATAGAATAGTATTTTTCTATCATATATACATATATACAGTAACTGGGTTAATGGCTTATCGGGGGCATGGGAGAGGAGGTTGGAAGAAAACGAGGAGCTAATAACAATAAGTACACAAGGAAAAGAATGTTCTAGAAATGCTTGTAGTGATGATTGTACAATTCTTTTTAATATGACGAAACTATTGAAATGTATGGCATGTGAATTTTATGTCTTTTTTTTTAACTTAGAGACATTTAATTCTCAAAGACCAATTTACCTTGTTTCGGGGATCATCAAACATTTGTAGTCTTTCAGAAACATCAGTAGATGGATTAAGGAGATCAAAAAGTTCTTCATTATAGATTTCCAAAAGAGATACTTTGACTGAAAATTCAGTACCATTATCACTAAGTTTCTCAAAAATTTGGTGAAGGGTACGTGGAATTATACCAGCTAAGGGATCCTAAAATTATAACAAAGATGAAAACAAAAAATATATTTTACTATGGTAGACAAAACAGATAAATAATTTGCAAAAACAAAATAAAATATAAAAAACTAATCTCATACTAGCAAAGCCAAATCATTTGTAACACTGTTCAATAATTATTATTTTTTTCTACCTTTCCTAAATCTAAGCATACCTGGTCGGCCAGCTTTATACCTGAGCATTGCACAAAAGCCAAATGAATTAAGCAATTTATAAAGCCAAATTCAGGAATCCTTTCGATCTTGTCTATTCCAAAGGTTCCCAAACTTATTTGGCCTGCTTCACCGCTTCCAGGAAGAAATAAATTACTCAGTGCCCACTGGCAACTCAAAACTTTGGTAACATAGCCACCGATCCAGGATAATGTATAGGTTATTTGCTTTTGCAGCCCGGGGGTCATTCCAGGGGGTGGTATTGCTCACTTTAGGAAGCACTAGTCTCCTGTGGTTACAAGTTGTTGATAGGGTGCCATTGAGTCGGCTCTGACCCATAGCAGCACTATGCACAACAGAACAAAACAGTCTGGTCCTGCACCATTCTCATAATGTTCCTATGCCCGAGCCCATTGAAGCGGCCACTGTGTCAATCCATCTCATGGAGGGCCTTCCTCTTTCTGGCCGCTCCTTAGCTTTACCAAACACGATGTCCTTTTCCAGGGATTAGTCTTTCCTGACACTATGCCCAAAATATGTTAAGATGAAGTCTTCCCATCCTTGCCTCTAAGGAGCACTCTGGCCTTACTCCTCCACCATCCAGATGTGTTTGTCCTTTTATCAGTTCATGGTACTCTCCATATTCTTCTCCAGTACAATTCAAGTGCATCTATTCTTCTACAGTCTTCCTTATTCAATGTCCAAATTCCACAGGCATACAATGCAATGGAGAATCCCATGGCTTGGGTCAGGTGCACCTTAGTCCTCAAAGTAACATCCTTGCTCTTCAATACTCTAAACCGGTCTTGTGCAGCAGATTTACCTAATGCAATGCATCTTTTGATCTCGTCTGCTGCTTGTGGATCCAAGTAAAGTCGAATCTTTGACAACCTTTTTTCCATCTATTACTTTATTATTATCCAATAGTAAAGTAATGCCACACTTATGTAACTACTACTAGAAGAACGTTAATAATTTAGAAAATCTAGTTACTCATTACACTCATTTGGTGGAAATCTTTGTGAAATGTACTATACTTGTTTATGACACTAAACAAAACTCAAGATTATCACTAATAAAAATACCACACTGCCCCCAGCTACACTTTTTGATACTCATTCCTCACCACAAAGTCCGTTCTTTCAAGCCCCAGTCACATTCCATCATTGCATAAAATTCTTCCACTATTGCATAATAAATACCCTTCTCTCATCACTGAACTATGCCGTATATATTGGTTCGCTCTCCACAAGAGTGCATTATTGTAACAGAAGTCATGCCATATGTTTTAATTTTACTATAGAAATCATTTCAGCCTAAGTTCATGTTTGATCTGGGTACTCTGAACTTCTCTATTTCAAGACAGAAGCCCTCATTCAAGTTTTAGTTGGTTAAATTTTAGTCCGCACTAGAGACATAAATAAAAAAATACCTCCTCCCAGGTGTACTCTTCATTAGGTGACCTTTCACCTTCCATGGTAAAGGTTTTCCCAGTGCCTGTTTGGCCATATCTGTCAAAATGAACAAACATGATCAAAACAAATACATTTATCTAAAACTCTCCATCAATTTGAAAAATAGTGTTTCACTTACGCAAAGATAGTGCAATTGTAACCCAAAATAACTTCATCCAAAATTGGACATACAACACTTCTGTAAACATCAATTTGTTTAGTAGAGGCTCCAAAGACCTATCAAAAAGAAATTAAAAAAAAAAAAGAAATAGATAAACCTTTCTTAAACCAATTGCTTCAAGAAAAATGTCAATCACTCATTTTAATAATTTTGTTTAGCACACTACGTCAAATAGCCCCACTAGAAATTATTTGACTTTTCAAATAGTCTATTGAAATCTGTAATTATCCACCTATTCTAGAACTTCTGGGTAATCTGTATACTAGGATATATCTTTGGGTTAACAGGTAACTTTAAGATAGTAGCATTCAAACAAGAAATTAAGTACCATATCAAAAGTGTAGGTTTTCCTTGAGCTCTTGTCAGCCAGTCCTGCGGTTCGTATACTAATTTCTTTTCGTGCCTGGTCACATTCTACCACAGAATGGGCATTAACTTTCCGCTCTGTCACATTAAATGGTCTACAAAAACAAATACACAAAGTTATTCAAGAACTCTTAGCTACCAGGTTAGCAGTGGCTTTTCATTACCTGTGTTAGACAAGTAAACATGAAGTTCTGACAACTTGACACAATCGGTGATGAAAAGTAAATGGATCTGCTAAAGCAACAGAATTTTCAGGGTCTTGATTCCCTAAAATCAGTTGTTCTGTTTTTGCTTGCCAAAAATAAAAATTCTGAGTTTTAGAGTAGATACTAACAGAATTTAACTTGTTAAACAAAATGCCAAACATATTTTTCAGGATCCTATTTCTACCAAGTTTACAATCTGATCATGTTACACTTTGATTTGGTAGACAAAGCATGCCAAATTTATAAAAACTATAAATTTGTAGTACACAAATGGCACTAAATAAAGATAAAAATTACTAACATGTTGAGCCTGTGGGAGAAAAGATGAGACTTTCTGCTCCCATTAAGATTTACAGCCTGGTCATCAAAGAACAAAAACTCTTATCATTGAGAATGAGGGGGAGCGTGGAGTGGAGACCCAAAGCCCATCTGTAGGCAACTGGACATCCCCTTACAGAAGGGTCGTGGGGAGGAGACAAGCCAGTCAGGGTGCAGTATAGCAATGATGAAACATACAACTTTCCTCTAGTTCTTTTATGCTTCTTCCTGCCCCCCACTATCATGATCCCAATTCTACCTTACAAATCCAACTAGACCAGAGCATGTACATGAGTATAGATCAGAGCTGCAAACACAGGGAATGCAGGACAGATAAACCCCTCAGGGCTAATAATGAGATTAGCAAAACCAGGAGGGGAAGGAGAAGGTGGGGGGGTGGGGGGCGGACTGGGAACCAATCACAATGATCTACATATAACTGCCTCCCTGGAGGAGGGACAACAGAAAAGCAGAAAATTGAGTGAAGGGAGACATCGGACAGTGTAAGACATGACAAAATAATAATAATTTATAAATTATCAAGGGTTCCTGAGGGAGGGAGAGTGGAGGAGGGAGGGAAAATGAGTAGCTGATACCAAGGCTCAAGTAGAAAGCAAATGTTTTCAGAATAATAATGGCAACATATATACAAATGTTCTTGACACAATGGATGGATGTATGGATTGTGATAAGAGTTGTATGAGCACCCAATAAAATGATTAAAAAAAAAAAAAAGATTTACAGCCTGGGAAACCCAAAGACATACTTCTACACTGCCTTATAGGGAGGCTATGAGTCAGAATCGCCTCGATAGCAGTGAGTGTGCTTTTTAGAATATGTTGAACACTTACTGCGTGTTAGGTATTCACAATTTCAAGTACTTGACACCTTATTCACCTGACTTCACTCTGTGGGACTTCTTTTTGTTTCCACAAATGCAGAGGGACATGAAAGGACAGCAATTTTACAACATAGAAGAGGTGAACAAAAAAATGAGGGCTGTGCTGTCAGCCATCCAAACAGATGAGTTTGAAAAAGTTTCCAAGAATGGAATCCCAGATTCGACAAATGTATTAAGTGCAATGGAGAATACTTTGAAGGTGATAAGGTTGTTTTGTAAAAAAATTTAAATTAAAAAAAAAATTAAATACATAGCTTTTAACAAATTTTGTTTTTTTGGGGGGGTACCTCCTTGTAGACTCTGTTCATTAATTGCATAATAATACAGTAGTCTCTTAAAGAAATGATGCTGAGGCTACTAGATCTAAACAAGCATAAGAATGAAGTTGGACCTATACTTCATATCATAAACAAAAATTAAATCTAAGTGAATCAATGACATGACATATAAGTAAGTTAAAGCCACAACGTCTTAACAGTACCTAATTGCTATGCCATTGGATAAATTATTGATGTTATCATACCCCAGGGGGATGATTGACAATGTTTTTCATGTTTGCTTGTTTGGGTGGTTTGTTTGTTTTTGTCATAAATAGTACTGCTAAACTAAACTAGAATTATTCATAACTCATGAACAAACAGATGGATTCTGGGTTCCCACCTAATTCTAGCCTAATTCAAGAGCAGCTAGCTCTTAATAACATGGCTCTGCTCCATATTTGTCTTCATGAAGGCAAGAGATCGCTGAAGTTAAGGTTGCTATAGCAAAGTGTGAAGAAAACAGATGCTGCCCAGCTATTAATTGGAATAGTATTGAGTCTTAAAGGCCTGTATTCAAACAAGCAGCCATCTAAGGGAGGCATCAACTAAGTCCACATCAAAGAAGCACACCAGCCAGTAAGATCCAAATATGACGAAGAGAAAAGTATCAGCTTAAATTGTGAATACCCAATTTGTAGAAGGCTATTTAATAGGGCATTGGAGACCTAAAATCTATCTGCAGAATATCTGGTCAGATCACATTTTGGGGAGATCCTCTCTGGCCACAGGTAAGGTACTAGAACTAGATAGAAATTATCTCAAGAAAACTACTAAAAAAAAGAAAGAAGCCAAAGGTTACCTACCATGGATGAAGGAGGAAGAGTTTTTGCTTAGGGAGCATTGAGTTCATGATAATGGTTGTGGAATAAGTTGGGAAAAGGTTACAGTCACTGTTTAGCAGTTCCTCAAAATATTAAACATCCGCCCAGCAATCCCACTCCTAGGTATATGTCTAAATTAATAACCCATTGGTCAAGTCCATTTAGACTCACAGCAACCCTGTCTCCCGTAGAGTTCATAAGCCTGTACATCTTTATAAAAACAGACTGTCACATCTTTCTCCTATTGTCCTGTTTGAACCAACGACCTTTTGGTTAGCAGCAGAGTACTTAATCATTGCACCGCCAGGGCTCCTTTCCACCATAAGGTTAATTTCCAAAAGATGAAGGTAACACATATCTCCACATGGTACTTTTTCTCTCTACCTCCAAAGCCCTAGGGCTGGGTCTCCACAAGTTATTGCTCTGTCCTTTCAACCAAACCAAGCTCACTGCCAGCGAGACAGACAGATATGACTCAGAGACCCTAAAGAACAGACTAGAATTGCTCTTTGGGGTTTCAGAGATTTTAAATATTTATAGGAGTAGACAGCCTCATCTTTCTCCCCTGGAACAGATGGTGGGCTTGAACCACTTACCTTGTAGTTAGCAGCTCAAAACATAACTCACCACACCACCAGAACTCCTTCTAGCCCCTACCAAATTAGAAATGTCAGTCTCTCATTGCCCACGAGGCTTCAATAACTCATGAGAATGACTTACCAAACTCATGAAGACTTTGAGCCATTTATAATTATCAATATATTAGAAACAGAAAGGATACAAGTGAAGATACACATCAGGCAAGGTCCTGGCAGTATGAAGCTCCCACTGTCCCCAGGGGCCTGACTGAACATCATGTTTGGAAATAAGGAAAACCAAGGAGGGCAGAGGAGACCCTTGATGGCTCACTAACTGCAGCAACTGGACTCAAACATGCTGGCAATTGTAAGGACGATACAGGACCAAGCAACTGCTCTACAGCAACTAATAACAAAAAAAGCAGGTTTCCGCTGGTGGTAAAGTAAAAGAAATCTCTCAGAAGGTAAGACTTGAAATGTACAAAAACCAAATCAAGCTGTCGCTGTCAAGTCAATTTTAACTCATAACTACACCACAGGACAGAGTAGAACCACCACCACCACCCCACCCCCTGCTCAAGTTACCATGGCTACAAATCTTTCCAGAAGCAGACTGCCATGGAACTTTCTCCCATGAAACAACTTAGTAGATTCAAACCACCCCCCTTTCGTTTAGCTGTCAAATGCTTAACCACCGTGCCACCAGAGCTCCTGTATAAAACAAAAAACCCAAACTCATTGGCACAGAGCCCATCCCGACTCATAGCTGCCCTATAGAACAGGATAGAACACACCTGGGGGTTTCAAGACCATAACTCTTTACAGGAAGAAAAAGCCACATTTTTGTCTCACGGGGCTCAAGTACCTGGTTAACTCTGAATGGAAGAGAGATGAAGAAGGGGTACACAGGGAGTTCTAGCTGTTCATTAGTCAGGGTGATAACACTATGTTTGTTACACTATTGCTTTTAACGCTTTATAGATATAAAATTAAAAAAAAAATAAATCAAAATTATAGGCAAAAAATGACTTTTTTTAACAATCAAATAATATAAAATTATGCATTTGAACCTAGGATGTTGAAAAGAACATTCTCGCTCAGATCTAGTTTAAAAAACACCTAGTTGTTACCCTTGATACCTTGAACTCAATTCACCAGAACTGATTAAGCATCAACCTCATAAAGTTTGTTGATACTGTCTTAATAATCTTTTTAAATTTTATTTTAGAATTCTTTAAGATTTACAGAGAAGTTGCACAGGTAGTTGTCAGTACAGTGTTTAAAATTAAAAAAACAGATGCAGAACATACATACAGTAAGCTGTGCAGAATTTCTAAAATATTTAATTATAATTAAGCAGCAATTTCTGCAAGTATGTTCTTCCTGCATTAGCTCATCTTAAAACGAATAAGTTAAAACGAAGAAGTTATTGGGTAACCAATCAGGGGAGAGTTGAAAACATACACACAGACACAGAACTACACCCTCACCCTGAAAACGCTATGTCCGCTCAGATTGTCTATGAACCAATAGGCAAATGAAAAAGTATATGATACTGCAGGAAAATCGGATACCAGATACCTGGCTTAAATTATCACCTTGATCTTTTAATTTTAAAAATTCACTTAATAGAGTGATGTTTACTTGTTTATTAGTGAGGAAGAAATTGTTTAGGATAATTGAGAGCAGACAATTCTGCTTTTAGAGATGAAAATCCCAATGTAAGTGCTAAAACTTTTGCAAAGGCGTGCAGCTTTATTTCCAAATCTGCCAACGTCATGAACAACACACAAAAGTAAACTACATCTTGATCGATATAAGTAAAAAACAAGGATGCACTTTTCTCTAAAGAACGCTGACCAAACGAGCCTTCCACGTACCAGTTTGTACTCCGATACAAACATCTCTACTTTCTTCTAGAAAACACACTACTCATCACAGCAACGGAGTATTATTTTTCTCACACAGAACCCGGGGAACCTAAATATGTAAAGTCTGAACGCTCTCGGAATGCAAACAAAACTCCGCCGGAGGTCGCGCCTCAGAACCTAGGAGCACAGCCCGGGCGCTCAGAATCCAGCCAGCTTCGCCCTACCTGCATCGCACCGCCACCTGGATGTTCTTCCCCTTCTCCTCTTTCTTCTTCGCGGAGGAATTCGGCAGCGACGCCATGACGGTCCCCGCCTAAAAAGCAATGCCTGGCTGCCGGGTCGGGCGCCCACCTCCGCGGGGAAGGAGGTCACAGCAGCGGCCGGGATAACCGACGCACGCGGCTTGGGCCTTCTGTCCTGCACCCGGAGCTCCGACGGGACGCAACCTCTGCCCCGCGCCGGCCACAGCCGCGGTGACCTCGCCGGACGTCACCCGCAGTCCCCCCAAAAAGCAAGCAACGACTCCGCGCCTCAATTTGAAAAAGGAGCCGAGCGGCCGAGCCAATCGCCGCGCTGGCGCGCGAAGCATCATGGGACGAGTGTCATCCTGGGAGCACCGCCCTCGGGGCGTGGCCCGCGACCAAGTCGAAAAGCTGGTCCGTCTTTCCCCGTGCGCCGTTGACAGAAGGAAAAGTTAGCGAAGCGTGACCATGTAGTCTGACTTTCAGGTGGCAACTCAAATTCTAGCTCCTCCACGTTCCAGCTGGGTGACCTTGACCAAGATGCAGTTTCGAAAACTCGATGGGTTTTCCACCAAAATGCCCTCCTCCGCAAAATGAAAATAAAAATCCCCCTCCCAGGAGTGGTGAGAATAGATGAGTTTGGATTGTCTAGTATGGAAAGCGCTCAGGAAAGGGCGGCGGTGAATATATTACGGAATGGTAAGAGAATGTGTAGAAATGCAGCGGAGAGTACTCCGTCTCGCTTGGGGAGGTCCAAAGGAAACCGCCTTCCCGGAAGCAGCATCCAGAATAGTCTGAAGAGAATTAAAAGGTAATGTTACAACTGATAACTAAACCGTAAGGAAATGGGCATTGGATATAATCTGGACTCCAAATTTATTCTTCCATTGATGAGAAGACGTCATTGCTAAATTATTCCAAGTCTTAGGACAGCAGCTCGGCAGGCAAGGTCGTGATTTCCTGAATCTACAAGGCGCTACGTTACGCAACCACCCGTGGCCGTCAGCCTACAAATCCCGGCATGCAGCGCTCACCGGAAGCAACTTGTCTCCTGGGCTTCCGGCTTTCCGTAAGCGTAGTAGAGCTCGTTAAAGTGCGTAATGTGAGCTGGCCTTGTTTGTACCTTGGTTGCCTAGGAAATATTGTCAGTGTATGTATTTATGCATCTATTAGTCTGCTCTTGGAGTTCGCTTTTGGCCACATTAACCCATAAGAATAATACAGATATTATTATAGTTTCTTAGAAAAGACAGTGGCCTGGCGGTGTGAAAGTTTTTTCTGTATCCCTTCCCTGTTAGACGCTGTCAAGTCCATTTATTCATAGCAAACCCGTAGTTTTCAAAACTGTAATCTACGGTATATGGGAACTAATCACCAGGTTTAGCGTTTAACCATGTGCCACTAGGACGTCTTGTTTCTTTTCTACTCTCTGGTCACCCCTATTCTTAGGGAAACATCTACAGCTTGCAACATTGGTCATCTCCCCATTCTACATAGTAAGCTGTCTACTAATATCTCATACATACCTCACAAGCTTCTCAAATATATATCCAAAACAGAAATCTAACCCCTTACCTGCACCCTCATCTTTTTAACCTGGACCCACGACACTAAACAGGGCCTTTGATTCCTTCACCCTGCACATCCAATACAATCCTGTTGGTCTGTCTCCAAAATATGCTCATCTGGCTTTGCCTCCACCACCACCTTTGTCCAGGTCTCCTTCATCCGTTCCCTGGAACCACTGTCATCAGCCTCCTTAACAGATTTAACCCCTTCTGCCCTATCCTGTACCCCTAGTGTATTCACCCCAAAGAGAAAGAATCTTTCAAAGAAAAAAAACTAGCTCATATATATTAAAAAATTTAGTGGCTTCTCACTGTACTTACAATAAAATGCAAATCCCCTGCTGCAGCTTGCCAGGGTCACCTAATCTAAGCTTGACCTCTATCAACATCAACTCATAGCTCACTACTATACTCCACAGCTTCTAAATCAGCGGTTCGCAACCTGTGGGTGAAGACCCCTTTGAGGGTCGAACAACCCTTTCACAGGAGTCACCCAATTCATAACAGTAACAAAATTGCAATTATGAAGTAGCAACGAAAATAATTTTATGCTTAGGGGGTCACCACAACATGAGGAAGTGTATTAAAGGGTCATGGCATTAGGAAGGTTGAGAACCACTGTTCTAAATTTTCTGGCAGCCAGATATGGAGTATGTTTGCTATTCCTCTTGCTAGGAACTCTCTTCCTCTGCTTCTTTGTGTGACATCCTTCAGATCTTAGTTCAACTTTCCCTTTAAAGAGATCTTTTCACACTCCTATAAATGTCTGTCTCTGGACCCTTATTATGAACAAGTAATCAATCCTTCATTGCATTTACTAGTTTATGAATACATTGTCTGCATGTTGTCTGTCTCAGCTAGAACATCCCCTTCAGAGATCATGTCTGTCTTCTCACTATTGTTTTTCCAATCTCTAGAAGAGAGGATAATACAAAACAGTCACTCATAAATGCTTATCAAGTAACTGAAGGAAGTTACTCAACTTTTCTAGACTTGATTTATATATCTGTAAAATTGAAAAAAAAATTGAGATAATGGAGATAATATGAGGATTAAAAATATACCTATTCATTTTTTAAAGAAGTTTTATTGGAATATAATTCATGCATCATACAATTTAATAGTTCAATAATATTAATAAGAGTTGCACAATCATCACCACAATCAATTTAAGAACATTTTCTTCTTTCCCGTAGTCATTGTTTTTTTAATCATTTTATTAGGAGCTCATACAACTTTTATCACAATCCATACATACATCAATGTGTAAAGCACATTTGTACATTCATTGCCCTCATCATTCTCAAAACATTTGCTCTCCATCTAAGCCCCTGGCATAAGCTCAATTTTCCCCTCCTTCCCCGCTCCTCCTTCCTGTAATCATTGTTATTAGCTCCCCATTTCCTCTCAACCTCCCCTGCCTTGCCCCCAAGATATGCCTACTCTTAATAACATGGTTAGGTTCCAAAGACCAGGGCGTTATGTAAAATGGCATTATGAGAACATGGAGGATTACCACATCAGATCACAAAATGGAGAATAACTACATTATTACATAACTGACAAATTACATCTTACATAACTGCCAAACCAGTGAAAATCACGGCTAACCAAGCTGACGCTTTACTATCATGGCTAGCATTATTCTGTTTGTACCTGTCAGTCATATTTCATTAATGTCTCAAATAGTGGAATTTTTACTATTGTCATAAACATAAAATGTCAGATAACAAAATAGTCAATAAGTATCAGGAGTCAGTTTAATAACAAGTATGTGTCTGATACATGGTAGACATGTTCAAAGTTACCTTTTTTCCCCTCTCTCGAATAAACACTTATACAGAATTTTTATTAACATGTGTCCTGGTACAAGAAAAGTTTTAAATTGTTTTATTGGGGGTTCATACAGCTCTTATCACAATCCATACATACATCTATTGTGTAATGCACATTTGTACATTTGTTGCCATCATCATTCTCAAAACATTTTCTTTCTACTTGAACCCTTGGTATCAACTCATCTCCCCCCTCCCTCCCTCCCCCATGAACTCTTGATAATTTATAAATTATTGGTACAAGAAATTAAAATAAAATAATTTTCTTTTATTTGTTTAATTTAAAAAAAATTATTTTATTGGGGGCTCATACAACTCTTATCACAATCCATACATACATCCATTGTGTTTTTTTGTTGTTTTTAAATCATTCTATTGGGGGCTCATACAACTTTTATCACAATCCATACATACATCCATTGTGTCAAGCACATTTGTACATTTGTTGCCATCATCACTTTCAAAACACTTTTTTTCTACTTGGTGTCAGCCCTTGGTGTCAGCTCCTCATTTTTTCCCCCTCCCTCTCTCACCCTCATGAACCCTTGATAATTTATAAATTGTTATTATTTCTTCATGGCTTAGACTGACCAATGTCTTCCTTCACCCACTTTTCTGTTGTCGGTTCCCCCAGGGAGATCATTATATGTAGATCATTGTGATTGGTTCTCCCTTTCTCCCCCACCTTCCCCGTACCCTCCTAGGATTGCTACTCTCATTATTGGTCGTGAGGGGTTTACCTGTCCTGGATTCCCTGTGCTGCATGCAAGCTCTTATCTGTACCAGTATACATCCTCTGGTCTAGTCAGATTTGTAAGGTAGAATTGGGATCATGATAGTGGGGGTAGATTTGTGTAATCTTTAAGCCTCTTGATCAATACCTATATAATTCTTTAAAATAACCTTAGTCAGCAGTTGAGGAATACTTTATGTTTTCCTATACCATGTTAGGTTCCGTTACTGTACATATGTGAATATGAATGCTAAAGAAAACAATCAGCAAGTACTCTATCTCTGCACATGTTGAACACAGAAAAACAGCAACAACAAAGCTATGATTGTTCACAATCTAAAAGTGCTTAAGAATAGAGTTCCCCTGTTTCAGGTTTTAGTTACCATTTTTGATATCCTAGTCATAGAATCACTGAAGTACTCGTAGTGTAATGGTTGTGTTGGGTTGCTAACTGAAGGTCAGCAGTTCGAAACCATCAGTTCTGAAAGGTAAAAGACAAGGAAGGCTTACTACTTCCATAAAGAGTTACAATCTTGGAAACCCACAGGAGCAGTTCTACCCTATCCTGTAGGGTCCCTATGAGTCAGAGTTGACTCAATGGCAGTGAGTTAAATTTAGGGACTAATAGAATCACAATAATAAATATTAACTGGAAAAGAAAGATAAAGAATATGTTTCCAGTTGCCTGGCCGCCTATCAATTTCTGGAACTTTCTAGGGTCTCTTATCAGAAATGTTCAGGATTAATGTTTAGACTGTCCTGGAATTTTCCTCTCACTATTTCTTATGACTGGCTTCCCCTTACCTTTCAAGCCACAACTCAAGTGTCACTTACCCAGAGAACCATCTTACTTGAAATACCCCAAATTCTTTCACAAACCCATTTACTTCCCATCACACAGTAAAAGAAACGGTTGAGATTTTACT